TATAATTTAAATCGATTCATCGATTTTTTAACCTTTGATGAACCTATCAGCGTAATTACTATTAATTAGCGCTGTTTAATAAGCTTCAATTTCACACCGGTTTGTTGGACTTTAAAAATTTAAATAGCCTATTCACACGCTGCAGTAAATCACCAAGGAGGTTTTTTTATAGATGCTCAATGAGAATAGAATAATTCTATTTTCCGCGGTTGATTCGCCAAATACTTCCACGAAGTATCGCGAATATTAATCAGAAGTAGCGATTGACCTCTATGAACTTACAAAGATATACGCGAGCTACAAATACGTGATAATATTGGCTCTGTGAAATTATTTATATGCATTTATGTAGAGCGGAAAATGCGGCATATATGGATACACCCTTTCGCAAACCATTCTCAAAGGTCATTCTGTTTCCTCCATTAACTGCATAACAGTTACTTATTCCACATATGTACACGTTTGTTTGCTTATCGATTTATAAGCGAGGTTTCTTAGTTTGTGCAGCATTCTTGCTGGTTTTCGCAAGTAGTAATAATTAAATATGCGATTCATTTATTTGAAATAAAATCTTGCGTCGCATAGAAAAACTATTCAATAAATATCTAAAACGTATTTGTGGTCACTTATAATGGCCCATTAGTTATAGGACTTTCACCGCAATCAATGCAGTGTCGTTGTATTGTTGTTTCCGAGATGAAAGTGTAACCTTCCCATGGTTACGTACATTTTTCTTTACTTAATTGCAATTAGATTTATCAATTAGCCGTCGTGTAAATATTCGCGCAGAAAACAGGAAGCGTTCCCAAGAGGATTCAATTCGGACTGTTCTACTCTTATTTTCGGTTAATTCAGCTCGCGCAATTTACGCGACACTTGACTAAATGCCGGACGATCTAATAGATAAATAGAAAATTAGCAGAAGAAACTGGGTAACCCCGATAAGGATTTTTTTATTAATAATATTTTTAATCAATCTTCTCAGTTTTCACTTAATTAATTCGCGTCGTGATCGCTGACAGGATCTTTTTATCATCGACGCTTCTGCTATCTTCACGAACACGTTCAAATTTCGAATCCTGTCTTTACGGTTATGTCTTATGTGTCCGTGCAAGACCTGCGACAACTTACTTTAAAGTAATTAACGAGTTTGCGGTTTTGAATAATCTGATGCTGACTTTTGCCGTTCGTATGCAGTCATAATTTAATATTTTTTGCTGGAGAAAAGGGAAAAATATGGCTTATTTATAGTTACGCGCATTTGTGAAAGTGAATTACGAACTGATAAACTATCATGTAAATGAAATAAATGGTACCCCGACGTGATTATCTGTATAGAGTGCATTAACCATATGCTACCGCTACAATTTCCATTGATTTATTTCAAATGTGGACAACCAGTAAATTGAAAAATTATGCTAAATAATATGATTGCTACTTTCCATGCACATTATAGTTAAATAATAATTTATTTATATAATGCAATTATTTACGTTGCTCTGGAACGAGGTAATAAAGATATTTACATGGTAATCGATCTTTATATTGAAACTCTAACGCAAAGTTTGCGATTTTATCAAGTTTTCTATTGCATGAGGAGATTTCAATGCACTCGTTTAAATTCATAAGAAAACTCATTTCAAACCCCGAGAATCTTGTTAAACTTGTATATACAGTGTACTCTTGAATAGAGTTGACGAGAGTAAAAAATCAGTATTTTTAATTTTATAAAGGAAAGTCATTCTAGATAAAAAATCCTTTTAGTAGAAAGAATAACTTTGACGTAGGTATTAAAATCTGGAATCACCAGAATCAAAATTAAATCGCATTGAAAATTATGATTACAATAGCGAGAATTTTACATCCTGAGTGGCAATCAAAAAGCGTTAAAAGCACAACAATGTAAAATAAATATTACACACTTTTTGACCGATATATTTACATACTTACACAAAAGGCTTCTTCCGCTATTCTACGTGCACATACAAACACGGAACTTTGCATAGTAAAATTTCGCTAAGTAAGCATTGTTGTGCAAGTATCTATTCAAAAAGTTCCGAACGAGCCATTTCAAGTTTATAGACTTTCTGCATTTAAATTAAAAGCGTTTTTCAATGAATTTCGATACATTTAACGCAGTATTTTTTAAGCTGTTTATAGAGTTAAATTTTGATAAGGCAATTTTGATAAACTCGTCTCTTCAACCTCCTTCACTTTGATTTAGTCGATGAAACTTTTCCGGTTAACTGCATTAGTAAGTTAGCTGAAACTCTAGGCCTTGGAGAGCGATACCAGTAGCTAATTGCGATTGCTTAGGAGTTTATAAGATCCTGCAGCATTTCGAAAGTATGAATGTAGAGTTGATTGCATTGATATCACAAAACCAACAATATTCCATCGCAGTTATTTCTATTCGAAATGTATCGAAAATAAGCGATCCTCTTTCGGTTTAACGAACTTTTGTTGCTTCTTTTAGCGTCCTCGATATATCGTTACCTGCGTCATCGAGCTCACGCAATCTTCTTTACTCGCAACAAATTCGATTGTTCGAATTCAGTCGAATTTCACTTTTGATGAATCAAGCTAGTTAACGGAACTAAATTCGCAGAGAGAACGAGATCGACGTTCCGAAAGTAATTCATCGAAATTTGTCGCACTCTAATGTCTTCATCGAATTTAAACTGTTCTTTTTCACGGCATTAAAAACATTACTCGCATCTCTAAAATAAATCGGCATTTGAGTTTCTAAAGTGACGCCTTCGCCACTTGTAGTGATTGAATCGATCCGGCCCGTATTGCTTTAAACTTTTGCGGGTAGGTATTTGACAGAAAAATCGATCCCCCCGTAATCAATCTCTTTATATTTACGTGATTACAAGTTTTCGTATTAGGTATCTCGAAATGCGCAAAGTTTGGAAGTTCTTGCTGTTCTATTATAGTGAGCGAAGTTTAGAACTATAGGAAATAATCGTAAATCTGCTAAAGTTTGCTTTCCCCATTGAATGAATAGTATAAGGAAGAAGTAAAACATTACTTAACGGGTTGTTTCAATGACTGTTTCAGTCATTTTTAAACTATTTTATAAACTATCGAATTTTGATTCACTTCAGAGAAGAAAGTAAAATTATTGTCTCGTTGCTATTTGTTTAATTATTCATAAAATATAACTCGACTTTATCTAGCTTCATCTTAATACTGTCCTACATACCTACTAATCGAAAACAGCCAATAAGAAATGGAATTTCCACGAGTGCGTTAACGTACGGAGTATTTTATAGTTTCTATAAATAATTAACCTTTCCATGGGCTTTTATCTAACGTATTCGATACATCTATACGTTTGCGTGAAACTGGAAAGACCATCCCAATAAATTTACATACGTAACTGTATTAAATTCCGGCATTTTTGTTTTCACTTCATTCATTGAATCGCAATTGATCCTAGTTGTTTAGTTTTGTTTTGAATTTCTTTAAGGAAAATTTAGTAAATGCATGTTTCATGAGAAGCGAAGTGAAAGTGGATAATGATCTGTTGATATCAACAATATCTAACAGTTGCTTGATATAGGACGGATAATTGAATATACTATAATAAAAAGAATTCGTGGTTTCGTTTTTAATTTTTAATTTAAAAACAATTAATTTTATGGGTGTCGATCGGTTTATGTTTGTGGTTATTTCATGGAAGAAATGCGTCAATAAAAATAAAATAATGACAAAATATTTATAATTTTCTAATAGTCGATATGGCAATAAATCAAAAAAATAAATATTAATTCTGTATTTTTTATACATTTATTTTCTACACGCTCCATGGCATGGAGAAAAAAGAGCAAAATAACGTTGTATCCTGCATACAAATGACAGAATTAGCAGAATATTTTAACTATTAGAATACAGTAATACAATTAGTTAGTGCCTGAATTATTAAATATTTATTTATTTATTAAATTGAGACTAGCTTATAATTTTTTTAGTAATTTTTATAGCAACATTTGTGGATTGTCCTTCACTTTGAATTGACACTACCTAATTTTTTTAAATATATTTAATCTACTTCTCTAATTTTTTTATTGTCATTGATAGGGTACAAACTAGGCCAACCCCTACACAAAACGACTTGGAGCCATTAAATACGCATACTTACGAACTGGAACTCGATACAATAAAAAACTCGTTTTTGAAATGCTTATAACCAGCTGATGTAGGACAAAAATTGTGTTTAATGTCGATTACGAGTAGTTTAAAAAAAGTAAATAAAATCGGCATTATATGCAGGTATACTGAAAATATAACAATTAGGTCATCGAGCACGATCGTTCCTAATAATATTAATAAAACTTCTTCGAATCGTACGAGTATTACGAGAACTTGACTGCAAATCGATCTGAAAACGGTGATTCTTTTTAACGCACCAAATAACTGTTCCACTTAGTTACTCGGATTTGATGATTGCAATTATTTACTAAATTATTGCAACTAGATATTTTTTTCTATCAAAATATGCATTTATTTTTTAATAACATCTTTAGATGCTTCAACAGCGAGACCTACATCTTTTAATAATTGTTTTCGAAGAAGAAAAAAAAACGATAATTCAAAACAAATTAGACTTTGTTTGTTTACTCACCCTACATAATATCATCCTACTTACTTACTGCAAAAAATATTAAAACCTCTCGAACAAAAATTTGTTTTCCTCTTACGTTCGAATAGCTGTAGACATGAAATTAATTACCGGCTGAATACTTTGCGAGGTCTCCCGATGAATTTCGCTTGTTAACTACAACGAATAATAGCATAATAATTATTAGATAACTGCACTTCGTGAAGCATTCGCACAAAACCATTAAAACGTAATTGTTGGCGAGTGAAGAGAATCCTAATGCCCGCTAATTAAACCGACTAATCATCTGCTTCCCGTGCATGCGATCTACATACTTAAACGGAATCGAACCGTAATTTTAATTTATTCAGCCGAAAATAATAACTCAATAGATAAAAAATTAAACTCCGCCTGTTTGTTCGTTGTTAAAACTTTAATAATATTCATAACATTCAATCCCTAACGAGGCGAAAAAAACTCATGAAGTTTCTGCTACTCTCACGAAATGGTTTTTGTTTCAGTTTTGAACGTAGCAGCAGGAAAAGCCCCCATGCAAGTCAGCACAGATTCGGGGGGCATTCCCCAAAAGGCCATAGACGGCAGTACGAGCGCCTTCTTCAGCAGCGACACGTGCACCCTCACCAAAACTGAGAGGTCCCCTTGGTGGTACGTCAATCTCCTGGAGCCCTACATGGTGCAATTGGTGAGATTGGACTTCGGCAAACCGTGCTGTGGTAAGAAAATCTTATTTCTAACGGATCTCCTTGTGGTTAGGTGTTATTCACGAAGGGGATGTTTGGGAAACGAGGCGAAGATTATTTTTAAACAATACTGTATGAGATATTAAAGAACTTCGAAAAAGCTTCTGAAAATTAAAGTTTGCAAAGGACACCATTTTTGGAAATCATTTAGAACCTGAATTTTATGTCATAGATTTGTTTAGTTGTGTTTAATTTTATATTTATGCCTGAGGAAGGTATAATAAAGGCAGAAACGTTAGAAAATGTTGTTGTCTAATTAAGTTACATTCATTCGTTTAATTTACAAATTTTCGAGAAAAAAAAACGGTTATTAACTGTTTGAACACATTTTCGAACTCATCTAATTTTTTCGTGTACAGTTATCCGCAATGAGAGGTTGTATAATTCTCTCAATAACGCAACTAAATAGAGCAAAACTAATTATAACCAATGGAAATAATTAATTCGATCTTAATTTATGCATAACTCTCGTTATTAACTCCTGTAATGTCGTAACCAATTCGAATTTCTCGGTGCAATTTCTAATTTCTTTTCCATCGAAAACGAGTTAACTAGCCAACTCGCTTTTAGAACCGAACAACAAAGCGCTTGATTGTCTCTGGAAATTAATGAGGCTCTTTTAAAATCTACATAATCACGACGTGCTATTAAAAACGAGACCTAAAAAAAACGCCGTTCCATCTTCGACGATCAAGCGATGACGGGACAACGGCCTATAAGAGTCCATAAGCATTAAAACGCGTGGTCATGCGTCTCTTTGGGTCAATGGAATATAAATGAAGGTCTTTGTAGGTTCGGTGAAGAAATTCTGACCGTGACATTGTTAACCTTAACCCACAAAGCCGGGCTGTGCGGTGTAGGTGCGCCTGTAATCGCTTTAAGATGCACGATATTTACGGGCTGCATTTCGGGAATTTATTGGGTGGAATAACCGATTTATCTATCGAAAAAATTAGGTATTCCGTGAAGAAGGCGTTTCTCTTCCTACGGCTCGTAATTCGGTTAATTATGCGGGCTGTAAATCACGTCGAGCTCCAGCTAAATATGTATTTTACGGACGTTATTTTTTCCAATAAAAGAAGCTTGTATATACTAATATGTACAAAAAAATTTAAGGTGCCAAAAAACCGGCTACGATAGTGGTCAGAGTGGGCAACAACCGACCGGATTTGGGAACGAATCCCATCTGCAACCGATTTACCGGATTTCTGGAAGAAGGCCAGCCTTTGTTCCTGCCGTGCAATCCGCCCATGCCCGGAGCATTCGTCAGCGTCCACCTGGAGGCTCCGGCCCCCAGTCAGCTATCTATTTGCGAGGCTTTCGTCTACACCGATCAGGCTCTGCCGATTGAAAGGTGCCCGCAATTCAGGGATCAACCGCCAGGTAATATAAAACCCCCCTAAATTACTCTAAATTTGTACAAAAAGAATAGAAATATGTATAGGTGTTGATGATATGATATATTACGGGTTCAGATTAATCTTACCACACTGGTGTAATTCACCTAACTCGGCTAATTTACAGTGAAAAACTGTATAATTTCTGTTATTATAAAGGTTATTTTTCCGGCGATTTATACATATATTATCGTTAATTTAGTGTAAAGGTACAGCCGACAACGAAAAAAGTACACTCCTCAAGTAATTACCTCTCCATGCTGTGAGAAAACGGTGCAAGTTTGTTTATATTGTTCGAGGCGTGGTAAAAGATTCTCCTAAAGATGCCGATAAACGAGCAAAGAACACAATGTTGAGCTATCATTGATAATTAGGTCTCCATTCTCACGATACCGGCAGATAAACCGAAAGATATATATTTTGCATCAAGTGAAAGTAGTAAAAGAAAATTGCCGTTCGTACGAATCTAATTTATTACCAATAAAAGATAAGAGATTCGATGTTAATCGTACATTGACTATACCGGGTATTTATACCAGTGTAAAGTAAACATCCTAATGATTTCACACAATTCATTTAATTTTACACAGCAATTAGTTATTGAATAAGTGCACCAAATCTTATAATCCGGTCTTATAATACGGACCACCGCCATTTTAAAAAGAACTTGCTTTATATCGAATAAATGATCATCACCCACTAAGCATCACTCCTCTCTTGACTCATCTGTCGTTTGCAGTGATCCAGGATGCAGGCATATATTTACGACAGCCTTTTTTAGTTTTCTTCAACGCGCGATCTAATTTTCTAGCGAACTTTGGAAGTTTATTAATCCAAAAAATACTATTCTATGTGAAAGTGGATAAGATCACGAGGAAGGTGAGTCATGTTGCAATTAATTGTATTAAGTTGTAATATTCTATAATATTCCAATTTTCTGAAAAAAATGATAATCTCAACATGAGTAAGTATCACAATAGGGACCAGTGGCACGTTTTAAATATGGAGTAGCTAAAAATTAATTTTTATGTTCTAGAATGGCTTCTAAAGTAATAGAGAAAACCAGACAAACATGGGATAAAAAACGCAATGGCAGAGGCAATTAAAAATGCACGAGAAAAGAGAATGGGCATTTTGAATGCTTCTAAAACATACACTCAAAACAAATCACTTAATGATATCACCATCCAAAAACTTGGGAGACAATCAACATTACCGAGTGAATTGGAAGATGAATTAGTCAATTATATTCTAGACTTGGAAAAATCTGGATGTGGTCCATATGTTCACTTTCTGAAAGTTCATATAAATGATATACTTTAGAAAATGTAGTTTATTTTAAAGATTTTGTTTTCTTAACTAAACGGTTAAGGAATTGTTTAATATAAATAAAGCTGATTAAAATTTAAAATTCGACTTTTTATTGATAAAAGAACTTATGGTGGTCCATATTTGGCGCACTTACTATATGTAAAATTGTACTCCTAAAAATTCATTGTTTTGTCCTAAAGGTAGCACAGCAACTTACAACGGAAAATGCTACATATTCTACAACAGACAACCGTTGAACTTCCGCGACGCCCTGTCCTTCTGCCGATCCAGAGGCGGCACATTGGTGGACGAAAGCAACCCGGCTTTGCAAGGCTTCGTCAGCTGGGAGCTGTGGCGCAGGCACCGCAGCGACGCCAGCGGGCAGTACTGGATGGGCGCTCTCCGAGATCCGGACACGCGGAACTGGAAGTGGCTCACCGGCGAGGATGTCACCGTGTCCTTCTGGAACCTGCCGGTCGGTAACGGGGAGTGCACCAGGTACGACGGCACCAAAGGCTGGCTGTGGTCGGACACCGATTGCGCCATGCCCTTGAATTACATTTGCCAGCATCGTAAGTTCGTCTAATTTCTTAGTGATGTTCATGAGATGTTATGCACGGTTGTATTCTAGAACCAAAGGCTTGTGGTCGGCCAGAACAGCCTCCGAATTCGACGATGATCGCACCGAATTACAACGTGGGTTCCACGATTGAGTACACATGCGATGAGGGCCATCTTCTTGTAGGACCCACCAGTAGAGTTTGCTTAGAAACCGGGTTTTACAACGAATTTCCACCAGTGTGCAAAAGTATGTTATTTTATTTGTATATTACTATATTGCTCGCTCGTGTATAAAATTTCCTATAAACTGTAATGTAAATTTTACAGTTCTATATGATCAGTCATGATTATGTAAAATTAGTTTACTAAGAGTTTCCTTTGGATAATTCCAGGAATCCAGTGCGGATATCCAGCCGATATAACGAACGGAGAATATAATTTAGTAAACGACAGTGTCGGTTATCTGTCTAGGGTTATTTATACTTGCGATGAAGGTTTCGAAATGATCGGCCGGGCTCAATTAGCGTGCGATATCGACGAACGATGGAACGGCCCACCGCCCAGATGCGAAGGTTGGTGTTAATTAATCCCTATTAATATTACCTAGTGCAATATACGGAATGATACAGAACATCTTTTCTTGCCATTAACTGCTAATTGAAGTTATGGGTTTATTAGATTAACGACTGCTAACTATTTACGTTTAATCCCTCTATATTTTAGCCTTACAATGCGAATCGCCAGCTGAAATAGATAACGGCATCGTGGATATATCGAATGGCTCGAATTATGGTTCGACTGTTCAGTACACGTGCAATTCCGGTTACGTTCTTGACGGCCATTCCACGTTAACCTGCTTGTCCAACGGACAGTACGATCATCCCATACCAACATGCGAAGGTATAATAACTAACCATCTATCTATAGTAATTATTTCATAAAATTTAATCCATAACCAGCTCTTCCAACAACGATTCAAAATCCGGAACCCACCACCAGAACGACTAGTAAGCGTCCGACATCACAATTAACAACGCCAGTTCTTACCACCACCAGACAGCGCGAGAGAACCAGAGGTACCAGACCACCACCTACAACAATCAGAGGAGTCGAAGTCGTCAAATCAACGAACAGAACTAGGTAAATTTCAACTAGACCCCTTTTGATGTCTATAGACCCATTTATTTCTTTCATTCTGGTATCGTCTTTACTAAAAAATTTATTCACTCGACTGTTCTAACATTAAATTTATACTTAATTGTTATTTAGGAGGCCAATATCCAGGACAACAACACAACCTACGACTCCTTTAACGTCTTCTCATCCATCTATAATCGTCGCCGGCCATCCCCAAGACAACGAAATAGCGGGCAGTTCGAATATTCAACACGGCGAAACGCCCAACGTGAATATACCGCTCTCCATCGACGGAGAAAGGAAGGAGACGTTCGGAGCGAAACTGAATTTGGGCGCCATCATCGCCTTAGGAGCATTCGGAGGGTTCATCTTCCTCGCTGCTATCATCACCACCATAGTGATCTTAGTCCGAAGGTAAGGCGTTTCCAGAGCTTATCAGAGCTCTAAAGAGAGCGTGAATCAAACGCTAGACACTATCGGCTTAGAGCTGAATATAACAATAGAATAATTTGCGATCGCAGTGCGGGTGCGTCAGCCCGATCGTCTCATCGCCTGCCCTCCCCCAGCGCGATGCCGTCACGTTGGTACACCCTATTGGCCCTTCCGTTTCCCGACCAGCAAATCGGCCGTAGGGAGTTCTCTCGAAGCTATCGCTCCCACCGGGCCGGATACTTTTCCAATCCTATCTAAGTCAATCAGTACCTGATCGCGTCCTGGTGACCTACAGGTACGGCTTCAGACACACCCGCACTGCACTGCATGCAACCGACTTATTGCACCAATATTAGCGCACCAAAGGCATGTAGTTGGTATTTATCGGAACCGTTCGAAACGACCAAGTGCTCGAATATATCAATTCGTTTTTATCTTTTTGATGTTTTATGTTCCTCCTGCAAGTAGGCAACCCGCGTTGCGGCTATTACAAGCAGATTGTAGACGTAGGTGTAGGTAAATAATCTTGTTTCGTTGCGAATTGCAGGAACCAAAGTGCCAAACATTACCGCCACCGGGCCTCCCCCGACTGCAACACCGTGGCTTCGTTCGATTCCTCGAGCTCGGAGTCGCGTAACGGCGGCTTGAACCGCTACTACCGGCAGGCGTGGGAGAACCTGCACGAGTCGGCGGGCAGCAAGGCGGGCCTGCGGGCGGCGAGCGCGGCTAATCACTCGCCGTTGCGCAGGAAAGAGACGCTGGACGAGCCGTACCGCAGCGAGCGGCACCGCGACGGCTCCGAGATGGTGGTGTCGGACGTGTACGGCGCCAAGACGGCGGGCGCCGCCGCCGCCGAGAAGAAGAGGCACCACCATCACCATCACCACCACGAAGGTAGGCCGCACAAGGAGGGAAGGGAATGGCGCGATTCCCGACCGCCTCCCCATAGAGAGCACAAGAGATATTGACAACCTTGTATGGTAATAACAGTACAATACGAAGAGTAGGTCGGTTTTTTTTAGTTGATTCGAAACTTGTCTAAAGTGAAACAATTACTCCGATGGAAATTGATTAGTGTGCCTAAATGGAAAAAGTTAAAAAAAATTATCGCATATTGTACAAGATTTGCTTGAGATTAGAACCATTTTTTTATAGAAATAATTTATTTTTTTTGGCACAAAAATCAATTTGAAAATTAAAGATTGGCTGTTCATTAGATTTTTTTATCCAATCTATGCACTTTATGTTATCAAATTAATTTATATAATGTTGGATAATACAATAAATTAGGTAGGTACATAATTAGATGGATAATCTGAAAGGTACTTATATTAAATTAAGTAATTGGAGTGATCTTTTAATCGAATTTTAGGCATGTTTCGGAGTACCTATTTGCAAATTGAATTTTTATTTTATTATTTTATTAAAAATACAGGGTGAGTTATTGAAGCGACACTTTTGAAGGCGATCTGCAATCACTTTTTTTCATATAATGAAAAAATATGTAAAAGAGAAATAATATTTTCAGGTTGGCTTTTTGCAGTTTTGATGCATTACAAATCGAATAATTTTTAAAAATTTAGGAATAGCTTTCGATTCTACAACTCATTCTGTATAAATATACATACTAAAGGTATAGAATTACGTTTGGGCAATTTTATACGGATTTATTTTAGTCCATTTTTAAATAACATCTCTAACTGAAATTTAATGCTTTTTTGCTCATATATTTATCAATATAATTTTGAAACATAGTTTCACTATAATTACCAAAGTCAACAATTAAATTTCATTTATTTATTTTAATATTTAGTAACATACTTGTTATAGGTTGGTAAATAATACTTTAATATTATCTACTACTTATTCTAAAGTACATTATAGGACATTTAAATGCAATATTTGTTTGTACTCGAATATTTTTAATTTATGTGCTACTAAAATGATAAAATTTTTCAATACAAAATTACACAAAAAATTTCAAATCTCTCACAGTATGCTGTCAATTTCGCTGTCAACTGTCAAATTCAATTTTATTATTTCATGTCGTTATAATTTTTGTCTTTTATAAAAAAGAGACTCTTATCTTGTTTAATACCTCCCCAGTGTTATACTAAATGCGTTAAATTTATGAAAAAATTATAATTTCCTAATTCCTTTTAATCCCCTAACTTCGCCTTTGACGTTTCAATTATCTAATTTGATGTTTGAATGACAGTCACGGCATACTAATAAAATTCCACTAAATGAATAGATGTGGAATGATGTTGAATAAAATATATGAGAGGATAAGTGAATTCTCCTTACCAGTGAATAATGGATATTATTATTTATGAGCAAGGAGAATGAGCATAATATAGACTTACAGTCGTGGAAAAGTACATTTTGGTAGCATTATAAATTAAAGTAGATGTATTACGTTACAAGCGTGAAAAGTGACTTTTTTCATTAAAACGAGAAAACTCACTTTTACTACCAATACATCACACAATTTTTCCTAAGGCCACGGGAAATTTATATTGAACAAATAAAATATTAGAAGTTGTACATAAATAAAATATTCTTGGACTCTCTACTTAGTACGTATGCGGTCGAAGGAAAATATCTAATATTTAAGGTTGGTTTACTTTAATATATTCGTAATTAAATATCAGGTTAGTAGAAGTTTGAAAGCGGAATTTCATAGTTTATATTATTTATTGTAAAAGCCAGAAAATCTATATTTTAAAATTGAATAAAAGTTTCACGCTTTTTGCGCTCTCAAACATCTGCTGCCTATAAATATTTGGGTAAAGTACTGACTTAAATAAGCGTGGGGAGTGACTGATAGTAGTGTTAAAACTATGCTAATTATTCCATCGTTCGTCGTTAAACTGTTTTGTCGTCGGGAAAGTTACGTTATAGTGCCATTAAATTAGGCATCACTAAAAAGAAAAGAAAAGGGAAAATAATATGCAATACATTATTCGAAAGAGGAATTGTACAGTAATTTCCAACTTTATTACTTCTAGGGTAACATAAGTGACTTACGAAAGACTTTTAGCAGATTTTGTTGTGAAATACTAGCTATTAAGATTATTAAATTTTAGTGTAATATATTAATTGATATGTATTGAGAAAAATATTATATGCATGTTACAATATATTATCGTCTAGCTTCATTTTTTACAATCCTCACCTTTTTGTTTATATTTTAAATTCATTAATGCTTGTGCGAGAGTTTAATTATATTCGCCGATTATTTTATTATAATTGGATTTAATTATGGTATAACCTGTTTTTGTTTGTTCCATCTCAGCGGGGTCACCTCTAAAATATCCTATACATATATTCTATAGAGTTTCAATTTCATTCAAAAACAGGTCTTAATTAATGTAGTATCTTGGACAAGCTAATTAAGTGCGTTACTGTTACAGGAAGGCGATTTTTAACGAGACGGGCGGAAAATTAATTTCGATATAGGCAATTTTACGCGATCAAGGACGGAGGAAAAGTAGACGGGCGACGAGGTTTGTCGTTTTTAATTTAGAAAATTTTCACTAAATTCTTCTCGGTAAATTAATCGATCAATCAGGACTGTGACAATGCCAGCGCTTTTTTCGCTGCCTTATTAGAAAAATTAATATTTTCTATTTATAGACACGTAACTTCTTCGTATGCCTGGCGGGTAATTAATCATTTACATCGGCGGTAATAAATAAATTACATCCTCAAATTTAGGAAATTACAATTAATTAAATTCGCTCAAATCCAATTTGCGTATTTGCATTTAGTTTAAATTTCATTCGAGCGGTCAGTTGACGAACGAATGCTTCCTTTAATTATCAACGTTTTCATACCGCAAACTATTGAAATTGGTTACCAGATTTCGTTGTTAAACAGCCATTGCAGACACATGGTAAGTAAATAATATATTATTTTAATGCTTTGGCGGAAACTAGCGCATCCACCAATTTACATAATAATGCTTCCTCCAATACTCATTTATAGAGCTTGGAAAATAAGGACAAACAAATGCAAAATATGAAAAAAATTACCAAAAAAATTTTTGTTTAATTTCTGTCAGGCTATCAGACTATATTACTTATTAGAGCGTTTGAAGAATGGGATATAATCATTTAGAACTGTCTAGAATCATTTAGAACGCTCCAGAATTATTTAGAACTGTGTAAAACCACTTAGAACGATCCAGAATCATTTAGAACTGTCTAAAACCATTTAGAACGATTCAGAACCATTTAGAACGCTCTAGAATCATTTATAATTGTCTAAAACAATTTAGAATGCTTCAGAATCAATTTGAACTCTCTAGAACCATTTAGAACACTCTAGAACCGTTCATAACATATCATATTTAAGAGTGATCAGAATGAGCATTGGGTGTTTCTTTTAGTTACCCAAATTGGCAAGTAATATAGTTACCGTTTTTATTTTATTATTTGTTGTTAAGTTTAACGTATTTTAATTATTTATTTGCAAAATATACTGAAAAATGCAAAATTTTATTTTGCATGTGCATTTTTAATTTTTGGGGAAATATATATTTATGCACTTCACATGCATTTTGAATAATTTCCAGACTCCATTCATGAATTCTTATATACAATTTAATTTCCTTAAGAATCCCTCATAATTGTTAAATACATCGATGGAACCGTTGTTGTAATTTATTTATCCCGTATTTTATATCCCCTCGTAAACCTATATCTATGTATAATATACTCATGTATAGACTTGACAATAAATAAATAATAAATTATGTTTATAGTATTTATAATGGATCTGGACGATATTTTACCCAGTGTGGGCGAGTTCGGAAAATATCAGAAGCTTGTGATATGCTTTATTTTATTACCGGCCGTTTTTCCGTGCGGTTTTCACGCTTACAACCAACTGTTTATGGCCTCTGTACCGAGGCACCGATGCAATATCTCACATTTATTAAAAGAAGCTTCTTCGGGCAATATAAGGTGAGGTCCGCAAACTTTTTTATGAGTTATGAGTTTCGCAATCTCTTCTTTATTATCGCTTGATTACTTAATGTGAAAATCTTCAGATTTTTGGCGAAAGTGTTTTTCTTTCTAGTCCTTTTAAGCTCATTAAACGCCTTTAAAATGTATTAATAACCCTTGGGTAGGGAAATCATTCCCTCAGGTCTCTTATGAATTTTTTCAGTTAAAATTAGTCGTTATCAATTAATTATTTTTTTAGTGTTCCCTTAGAGATTGGTCCTGATGGGAAAGAGCGGTATAGTCAGTGTATTTACACCAATTATTCGCAAATTATACCTTGTAACAACAGTTGGCAATACGAAGGAGAAGTCACTAATTCCGTGGTATCTGAGGTAAACAACAGCTATTTACTTTGCTACAATATTTACTCGCTCAAGTGGAAATTTCCTCATGCATCATAAACTCTTTTTGATCCGTTTTTCTTCGCTAGATAAAAACATGATAGATGGCCTTTTAACTATTTTCAGTGGAATCTAGTCTGCGACGAGGACTTTTCGGCGACTTTAGCTCTTGTGTTATTCGGCGCCAGCGGATTAATCGGCAATTACGTCTTCGGATACGTTCAGGACGGTTTCGGACGAAAACCAGCCTATTACCTTTATTTATTAATCGACAGCATCTTCGGAATTGCCACGGCTTTCGCCACCAATTACACTATGTGGGTAATATTCAGAGTGGGCGTCGGGTTCACCATACCCGCCCTTTTGGGCACACCCTATGTCCTAGGTGAGTTTCTCCAGGTGAATTACAACCCACAATGTCAATACCTCTAATAGGAACTCATATCTTAGTAAATGCTCCAGTTATGAGAGCTATAAATCCACTATGTATAGTTTATTTGAGTACTTACACAAGGCCCTACAATAGTGCCCCGAAATTGCGAGATATTATTCATTTTTAGCCATAGAACTGGTCGGACCGAGAGATAGAACACTAGTTACGATTCTCATCAACATAGCCTATTCGCTGGCGCTGATAACGCTGGCCGTAATCGTTTGGGCCATAAGAGATTGGAGATGGATGGCTCTAACGACAACCCTTCCGTTTTTACTGCTCTTTCTCTCGTGGCCTCTCTTGCCGGAGAGCCCGAGGTGGCTGATGGCCCGGGGAAAATTCGACAAGGCCGAGCGCATCTTACAGAAAATGGCAAGGTAATATTAAGAGTGTTTTTTGATAATTCTTCAAGAGGAATTTTAGAATGAGAAACTCCCTACAAAAAGGGCACCTTTTAGTACTGTACCCTGGTTCCAAAATAACTGGCATTATCATTATTAGTTTCATTATTATTTAATATTTTATTATTATTATTTTTAAATTGAACAATGAGTCACTGGCAGTTATTTTGGAACCCGGGTATAGGTCATTTTTTTATTTTCTCTCTAAATTCAAGGATAAACGGAAAACAACTACCGAATGACTTCGTTAACAAATGCGAAAAAGAAAACAGGCCCAGCCATTCGCCCACAACCGGTAATCCGCGGAAGAAACTCAATTACGGCATAAAAGATCTGTTCGAATCGAAAAATCTGCGATGGAAAACGATCATCATAACGTTTTTGTGGTTCACGAACACCAGCGTGTACGTGGGCCTTTCCTATTACGCCCCCTCGCTCGGCGGCGACGAGTATTTGAATTTCTTCCTCGCCGGCGCCGTCGAACTGCCCACCTACCTCTTTCTCTGGCCCTCCATGGAGAGGCTGGGCAGGAGGTGGACGCTCTGCATCAGCATGATCATCGGCGGGACCTCTTGCTTGGCCACCGTCCTAGTGCAAAATGGTAAATATTTATTTAGTCCCACCGAGATACAAAAATTTAACTGTCGATGGTGTCGAGGAGTTACCAAAGAGGCTCTTAACCCGTTTACAAATACCTGTTCTATCATCAAATAATACCAGGTGCCTCATCTATTTGAAACATCCTGTAATTTGGTTATTAAAGGTACAAGACTTACCCAACTCCAACTTACCTATTGTATCGGAATTTCTTTGCAATTTCTGGTGACTTGTAAAGAAATTAAAGTTTGGTAAATACCAGCAGATAATTCAATATTTTCAGATTATGTAACAACGTTGCTTTTATATTGCGTTGGTAAAATGGGTATATCCTCTTCATTTGTTGTCCTACCTCTAATGGCATCAGAATTATACCCAACTGTCGTACGAGGCCTTGGAATGAGTTTAAGTTCAATGATTGCGATGTTGGGACCGATTTTCATACCTCTAGTGAATTACTTGGTAAGTATTTTACATGCATTTTCACCCTGATGTTGCATATAAGGATCTCTTAACTACGCATCGGAATATTAATGGGCTCTGATAAAACATAATGCGCTCATTAGTTTTGGAAGGGGATAAAAATAATCGAGCATCGTCTTCATTAAATTTCCAGGGCTCGGATATTTTGATATTGCCTCTAATTATAATGGGAGCCATGCTGATAATGGGTGGCGTCTCCTCGTTACTCTTGCCTGAAACTCTACACCAGCATCTTCCGCAAACGCTGGAAGACGCCGAAAATTCCTCGCTCGATTGCTCGGCGTTCTGCAACCCGCCCAGGAAACTCGAAAAGAACGTTCAAGGGTTCGAAACCAAGTTATAATACCTACCTGTAATGTAATTCAAAAGAGAATTGGAAATTTTTATCAAAAATATTTTGGGTCGATAGTGACGTCATAGTTACTTTCATTGCCAACCATAAGATGTTAATTACACTGATTGTCAATTTGATTTCAATTTGTGGATTTGGTGGAAAAGTATTTTTACGTTGGTACTAGTGCTGGGTGAAATGTTCAAATATGTCGGTTTTTGACAATTACTTCTGTCAAATGAAATCGAAAACTTGGTATTTGGTATAGCAATAATATTAGAATATTTTGTACGTAAACGTAATTATATAATGTAACAAACCTCCTGAAATTTCCGCAAATTAAAATTACGTAAGTAGTTTTGAGGTTAATGTTTTATGACGTCACTATATAAATTTAAATTTTTTGACATTTGTTTTAATAGGATTACAATGACATTTTCTACATTGAATCAAGTACGTGTACCTTAAGGTACAAGATGGCGACCGAGTGAAAATAATTTTAATAATACATTATACGTCTAATCTCTCTTTTTGATAAAATGCAGGTGCGTGATATAAGTCTATAAATATTGTCTAGTCTAGTAGCTTCATTAAAAAATAAAATCGAGTTAAATATTGACGTTGTGTATTCAATCCCAGGCGAGTCGCTCTCGAGATAAACGCTATTAGTAAGATAAAACACTGTAATCGCAACTCCAGCTGATATGGCGACAGATACTCATAATTATTCAGATTATAATATAAAGAACCGTTACACCCGACGATATCAGCTGGCGTTGGAATATTGGAATTCCATTTCGCATTGCCCTCGTCATGATCACGTTAGCAGCGATTTTCGGTCTGTTTTTAATAGGCTTGTGGATTGCAAGCCGAATCGAAGAACAGCCGAACGTAATCGCGAAAGTGTACACGCAAAGAGGACGATGGTTTTATTTAAAGTATTGCCTCATTACGTGCATGCTCTTCTTGGTCAGGATGAAGTACTATGTGTACGGGAAAAGGCGCTATCACAAAGATGAAGACATGGATAAGTTGCATGAATTATCCAACCATGATCAAGTAAGTGTACACTTTGTAAAACATTAACTTACCTACCAGTCATTATTTGTTATACAGGTTGCTCCATTTTTGTGACATTGTGACATTGTGTCATTACAACTTTTCACTCTGACAACTGTCATTTTAATAACCTTTCTTTGTTCCACTCATAGAAATGACCATATTGCAATCGGAAATGGAGCAAGGTGTATGTACCATAGCCGTCTCTTCTCTAAAATAATATTAATATCTATCACGAATAAGTAAGTAAAGACTACTAGGAAAATATTTTTCTAGAGTGTTTTTCTAGTGACTTATGATATAGAACTGTAACCGATTTGTCAACGGTGACAAGAAGATGTGCTTTTGTTTTCCAAACAAAAGCATCCGATTTTCTTATTGATAGTTCGCGTTGGGAAAAGGACCTTATACATACGGGTACATTTATTTCGCAGGCATTCGACGCCGTTTTCTTCCAAGCGGTCTCGCAGAACGGAATATACATTTGCACTGGGACAGAGAGGCGACACGGCGGGAAGCTCAACGGATTAGTTTATATAGTGGTAAGTGTCAAGGAAATCTGTAGAGCGTCCTAAAAACCTCTCTAGAAGATGGGACATACTGTATATGTGCAAGTAGCCTTAAAAGTTGAAAGTTTATTTTTTGAATCACATCGACTATAATTAATTGAATTGATGATTTATAGCATCCGGAATATGGAGTATTGGAAAGTCTAAAACTACCGAAAACGGAGTTAAATGCAGACGTAGTTTCCCTTTTGAACAAAAAGAGTTATTCAGGCGAAGGAATTTCCTTCACTCCTATAGTTCCAATGAAAAAATGGAAAATGTCTTACAACGGTTTAATGAGGTACATTTACTCGATTATGCCTTCTAATATTTTGTTATGTTTATTATTTATCATTTTGATTAGGATACAAAATGATCCCACGAAGCTCGTTCAAGTAAAATTAGAAGCTGATTGGACAAGCAATTACGACTGGTTCTTCGTGGAAATCGATGTTCCTATCAGCACAATAGCCAGGTGTATGGCAGTCGAGGTGTGGACTAGGCAATTTTTTCAGAATCTCAAAGAGTAAGTTTATTTTCATCAACACTACATTGCGTCTCAGCTACTTTTATGATAAATACGGTCTAATAAAACCATATTTATAACATTTTCTGTGAACCCACTCTACTGTAAAATTGTAATACAAAGCACAATAAGACAGTGGATTTAGTAAAATTTATGAGACGTTTTTGTAGTGAAACGAGCTATTTATAAAATTAATTTAAACGTTTGCCTATCCTTTTGTATTTAGGGCGCATCAGAGCCATTACGAACAGATGGGTTACGTAAACGGGACATTGCAAATTGACGGAAAATTAACATCATTGGTCGATATCGACGCGTTTCGAGATCACAGTTTCGGTAAGACATTAAATATTCGTCCGTATCGAAAGCGCCAATTGCATTTGCACCCCGGTAATGAATGTTTAATGATAGCTAAACGCGAGCCAGCCCCAAAAACTCGCCCCGTATTTTCCAATTTCAACTCTACGTTACAAAAAATCTCCACATCTCGCATTTTCTTGCAGTGTGTTGCTAAATTGAAGATTATTCCCTTATCAAATAAACGTATTTTAAATCCCCAAAATTGCCCTCTAGTTATCCTCAACATCAATTAACCGAGACCTAAGCTTGTGGAAACTTCAAATAAAGGACGCATTTTACAGGTCACAAAAGGGACTGGTCACTGATGCACAGATACATCTACTGCATGTTCTACTTATCCGATCGCACTAAAATCTCGCTAGGAGTAATTAGTCACCACGGGCTCATGACTCACTTGGAATTGGGCTTCGTCAGTCATCCGGACGGGCGGATAGATCCCATAGAGAGCATCGATTTGCGGCTGTACGAGCACGCCGAAAACGGGGTGTTACCGGAGGAGTTTGAGTTCACGTTCGAGAGCGCCGGGAAAAGTTACGACGTAAAGATGAAGTTCGCCTACGAAGCGAAACACTATAAAGGTAAATTGAAATAGCTTCGCTCGTCTACGTCGCATTCGCAATTCGTCAAAATTTCAGGTAGTAACGATGAAGCCGTGATGAATGAAAGGTTCCACGTTTGCGAGGTAAATGGTATAACCGGTAAGGGAATATCGGAGTGGCATTATAACAAAAATATGTTCAAAACTGAAGCAGTAGATTGATGTAAATTTTGCAAATAGACGAATGATGCAAGCACGAATATTATGTTCTATTATCGTGCAATTTACGTCTCTAGTTATTCCTATCGCACTGTATATTATTACCAAAAATGTTTAATATCATACTCCATCACCAGTTTTTAATATTCCATTAGTACTTACCCTAAAAACTGAACCCAATTTCGGTAGGTAGTTACATTTTTTCAGGGAATATCGGAAATGGCATTATGTGGAGTGGCATTATAACAAAAATATTTTTAAACTGAAGGAGTTATAGCTTGGTATAAATTTTGCAAATAGACAATACAGACTGAGAAAAATAACATTATACTCCATCACCTTTTATTTTCCATTAGTACTTACCTAAGAACTGAATTAAAATTCTCAGTGTACATCGGAATAGAGCCGACATTCACATTGTGATGTGGAAAAATATTTACGGACGTTTCGGGTTACACTCGGCGTGCAGGAATAATCAGGAAAAGGAAAGTCTGGAGAGAACTATCGACAGTATAATTCCACTTTATGTCGGTATAAAGAGCGGATTTAGGACTTTGTAAACAAACTCGGAGAGAGATAAGACAGCTGTGTTTTATGCAGATTGGCCAGACGTACGAGTAATGTTCGAGAATGATAATTTTTAAAAGCAGTAAAGTGTTTTGAAATGACAATGGAAAAAGTATTCTCGTCTAAAGGTGAGCGCAGGTAAAAGCGGAATGAATGTTTTTTTTAGCCGAAAGATAACAGAGGCGTAAAATGGTTCATACTATTCTTACTTAACTCGAATGGGAATAAAACAATATTGTTTGTGTAATCATTATATTTACTTCTTTTTGTACAATAATTCTTATAGATATATGTATTTATATACTTTTAATCTATGCTACAAATTGGCACTAAAAAACATTTATTCATATATTGACTATATGAAACGCTTCTTGTCCTGCTGCTTGCCGAAGAATGTTTCAAAATTGATCTGGTTTAGGTATGTACGTCTACTTTCTAAACAAAGTACCTGGAAAAGCAATAACATGTATTAGTTATTTCATTAAAAACAAGTAAAACTTCTACTGCCTTGATAATAATAGAGTTATTTAATTGAAGAAGTTATACCTAAAGTTTTTTTTTCAAAGTCGAGGACGCCATCTAATAAAAAGCGAATTAATAGGGTCTAATGATGCTCTTTTCCGTTTCCAGCGACCCGTGAGATAACTCAACTGACAAAATTGTAATTAGTTGCTGCAAGAAACAATATCGACTCCGAAACATCCTACGTATTTGCGTCTCCGTTTAGCGCAGGTCAGTCGGGCTCAACGTCTTTGTCGCGCCTTTTATAAGCGCTTTCCCAATTAATGAAAGTCTTCTATTAAGTATTCACTAATTGCCGTTTGCGGGAAACGTGTTCAGGTGACCTTTTCGCAAACGTGTACACTTATTTGACGTTAACTTTAAATTAGAGCAAATTTATTGGAGCTGCGAAATTCGCGTTGAAATAACAGATCAGGGGACTGTTTGACAAACAAAGAAAGCAAACTCAACGAAATATTGGAAATTCCATGCGGATTTTCGTAACGCGGGTACGAAAATTAACGGAATTTTTCGGTTCATTCCATTGAAAAAATTATGTTCAATCATAGCAAAAAAAGTTAATTATAATACTTTTGAAATATTGTGTACTGAAAAAAAATGCTTAAATTTTTTGGATATGTACACAATACATGTAATGAAATATTTTTTGAAATATATACATCATATCCCAAAATGATTAAAGACATCAGAGCTCTTACTTAATATACAGACTAATTCATTTTAGTGTGAAATATAGGTTATATAGGCTATGGGTGCGATAAAGACAACTTTCATTAGACACTTTCAAAGGAAAAAGAACGAGTGATATTGTGTCATTGCAACTTTTCACTCTAAAAACTGTTATATTTATAAGTTTTCTTTGTTCAACTCATGAAATGAACCAAGCTGGTATATTGACTACTATAACACCTCTAAATTAATAAAAATGATTTTAATTAATATAAGATACAAACAGAAATCCTTTACACGATATTTTTATTAAGCAATAGAAACTGGTGTGCAATTCACTTTAACTAAACGAAGTAGCTTTATTATGAAATAATTTTGAGGCAAACAGTATTATTAAAAATTGTTTACTAGTTTTTACGAGTTTCTATTCCTCCAACAAATTTTTTAAATGGCGCTTAGGAAATAAAACCCGTAATGCCCGTAAAATAACTTTCCCGATACCGTTGGTTGGTATTTTCCTAGATATCGCCGCCTTTAATCCGATAACGAATGCAATTTAAATTTCCATTAACAGGATTTTATAACTCAAAAAGGCATTATGTTGATTTTTAAAGCGCGAGCGAATGAAGAATTTAATTGAATACTGTTGCTCTAACCTTTTTCCAATTTTATTTTTTCGGCCCGAAAAAATCTCTGACATTACGTTTTAATTGCGAATTTACCCATCTAGCATAATTCCAGCGACTTATTCCTGATTATAATACGTTGTGTTTCCAGGACCGGACAGATCAAGTTTAAGATAAATTGTAACGGGAAAATTAAGCCAGAAAAAATATCTTTGTTGGAAAAATGATAAATCACGTAGGTGTGTATATGATGTATGATTTTCGGTTCGACTTGAACAAAACAAGAGAAATAATATTGTTTGATAATTATTTGAGTGGAAGATGCTGGAAAATGAAGTGCATTGAAGAATAAAGTTTTCTCTGTAACATAAAACATAAATGAAGTTTCTAGAAATGTTTCCGAAACCGGAAGAGTCGATAAAATGAAGTAAATCAGAAAGTCGAGGAATTAAGTTTTTCCTACAGAATAAAAGACAAACAAAGTTTCTCGAATGACTGGAATACTTCAAAGTTACAGATTAACCTCCGTTTTCCGAAAATAGTTGCATTACACAGATCCTTACCGGCCCGTATCGACCATCAATTATCCGGCCCTGCGCTTCACCGACAAAATTTAATTGGATCTCCATTTATTCACTCGATATTTCGCTTACAATAATAATAATGTAGCCAATTAAAGCTTAATAAGAGAATCCCAAGTTCGCGAGTCCTAATCATATCAAAGTTTCCAAACAGACTTTTCGCAGCAACTCCGCCATCGACGGCGCTCGGCTCGGCTCGACCCGAAATCGATTCGGCAAACATCTGTAGCTTATTCCATTATACCTAACTTACAACTTAATATTATGTATATATTCGTAACACAACGAAACGTGGAATTCGGTGTGTACGCTCCTCGAGCCTTAGTTATTCCCAAACAATTAAACCGAACGAATTGCCATCGTCAGTTAGTGTTTAGTTAGTTGCGATCAGGCGCTGCTGCTGCAACTTCCCCGAACATCAGAACATCCGTTACAGGAAGTTCAAACAATTTACCTCAAGTAATGAATGAAATTGGAGAACAATTAAGAAACTCGGCTAAGTAATTGATTATGTCAAAATTCGATTTTAAGATATCAATAGGGATACTATAGTGGGTGTAAAGTTGCACTCCGTAAAAATTGCGTTATTCGCGACAAAATGCTTTTAGTTCGGGTCATTTTTGGTTACACGAATTTGCGTTTGTTTCCCCCCTTTTCCGGGCCCAGGAATTTTCAAATTAACGCGTAATGTTAGAGGGTTTTCCTGTCCCGTCGAGCACGGGTCAAAACGTTTTTGCCCTTTTATTATTTTTGCAGTTAAACGTTACGCACCGAAAACAGTCCATTTAGCAGCAATTTCGGGGGTTTCAAACGATATTTCGGACAAAACTCACCTACAACATTCACTCTTCGGGTTTCACCCGGGGAGCTTCGTAAGGCGGCGGCTCCTCCTCGGTAATCAGCTTCAGCCTGACGATATCGGAAGAAGAATCGTACACCGCCCCCACCGAGGGCACCATGATGTTCTCCATTTCAACGCTATCCGTCTTAAGCGGCGGCGGTGTGGGTTTGCGCTCCCTGAACGAGAGCGCCCTGTGAACGCCGGAAGAGGGCAACAGGGACTCCTGTTGCGTTTCGTTATTACCGTTGCAGGTGCGCTCCGATCGCCAGTTCTCGAACCTGCAGGCCGGCGGGCGCCTGGACGCGCCGTCGAAGCAGGGCAGCACCTGCTTGAACTCCTTGCGGAAGTTTTCGTTGAGCCAGGCGTAGAGGAACGGGTTGTAGCAGGTCGACGACATGGCGATGGCGTGCGCCATGAAGAATATGAGATAGTAGAAGCCCCACTTTTCCATCTGCTGGTTGAAGTCGTTGATGATGTTGAACGCGTTCAACGGTAGCCAGGATACCAGGAAAACCGCCACCATGGCTATCAACATTCGGTTGGTTCTTCTCTTGCGCTCTCTGTCGGCTTCTTCTTTTCGGGAGTTCTTCGATCCGGGTTTGGATCTGGCTCTGTCGTTTAGTTTTATGGAAACGCATATGTAGCAGAAAGCCATTATCAGAAACGGTATGAGAAATTGCATGGCCGTCGTGATGCCGCCGAACGTTCTCCTCCAGTCCTCGCTAGGCCAGTTTTCATCACAAAAGTACTTGTCGGGGTTGGGTTCGGATGGTATGAGCTTCACGTACACCCCGTACGGTAGCGTAACCAGCATCGAGAATATCCAAATTATAACTATGATTATGATGCAGGTGGATAGTTTCATGCGTGGATGAAACGGATATATTATAACAAAATATCTATCTATGGCAATTGACGTTAGAGTAAGCGTTGATATATAAACACTAATGCCTTGGGCGTAGGAGACCAGGTGGCAAATCAACCTGCCGAACACCCATTCTCCAAGGAACGTGTACAGGGGCGTGAACGGTACAGCTAGAACGCACAACAATATATCCGATAAGGCTAGATTCGTTATAAACAAATTCGTCACAGTCTGCATGGCTTTGTTCCGGAACACCACATAACAAACCAGCACGTTGCCGAATATCCCCATGACGAATATCGTCGTGTACACCATGAAAAACGCCACTTGCACAGTATTATCGTTGATGATGTCCTCGCTGGTCGTGTTATTTGAAACACCGGCTGCCATATTTACTATTAACCGACCGCTATTTGGCTACTTCATCGCGGAATGCTTCGAACGATAATACACCTGCGGACAAAACAAACTGTTTAGTGTCAATTTGTACGATTAAATGTGAGAAAAATTTAATAACGCACTCGCAACTCGCACCGACGTGTACCTACCGGCGTGTATGTAAATTTTAGTTTATATGATCCGAGCGATTTGCGATAGGTGTAATATTTTCGGAGACGAAGTGTATTCTACTAATTATAACCCATAATGCATGCCAATTTTTGACCGTTTTTAATATACCGAGTGTCCCAATCGATTAAATTTCTAATGCAATTGTTTTTCTAATTTTTTTAAAGTCGGAAATATCATTGGTTTTATCAAACCTTAAAGGGACATATTTCTTAATTTTTCCTACACTATGCGTATAATGTACTGGTTTTTTACTAAACCTCGTATTTTATACTCGATCAAAAAATAAACAGGTCCTCAATAAGGGTGTAAGCTTTGTCATAAAGTAACACTAATGTTTACGTCCCTTATGTATTCTGCAGTCTAAAATATTCTTATGTTAAAAATAAGAGAAATAATTAAGCAATCGACATTTGTTTGGCACACCCGGTATTTGCAGATACTGAGCGAGAAATAGTTTAATGCTTTTATGACGACTAAATAAATAAGCTTGATTTTACTAATTAAAAAGTACTCAATTAATTTATAAGTACATACCCGATAAGTATCAAAAAGATAGAGTGATATACAGGGCGATATACTAGGCACATTATTTTTGAAAGAAATATTTTACCTACAATTTTTGAATTTTATACCATTAATCCTATAATTACATTCACTCAATAAAACACTCAATTTAATTCATTTTCGATATCTTAGCCCATTATCAGCAATTAAATCAAGCAATAACATTTTATTACTTTTCTTTCCCTTTATACTAACTTTTCCTATAAAAAGTAGTTTATATTCAGGAGACCCAGTAACATAAATTTTCATCGAAAAATCGTCGCAGTTTAGCAGGAATAAATCGCGTTAAAAACGCTATTGGAACTACAAAAGTTTGTTTTACTGTTTACCATAGGGATCTATGGATGTATGATATTTACGAGCACCGACTGCGTAAAAAAACAATAACACGTTTTAGCCAGAAACCTTGCCAGGAAAGATAAACGTCCGACCAAATACACCGAAGCACACCTTGCGTATACCCTTCCATCGATAAATTTCAACCGGCCATCCATTCCGACCGACATCCCTCATGAAATAGCGATTTTATTGTACAAGTTGGCCTATTAAGCACAAGGTAACATGCTACAGATTCAATAAAGCTTGATTGCTGAGGGATTTTCCGAAGAACGGAAGGAGAAAAAACCGAGTAGGAAATTACGATCGCGTTTTTCTGAACCATCGACAGCTGTTAGACTAAATTCGAGCTCGGATATTTCGTGAATGGCTTCGTCTGCAAAAATTATACCCCAGATGCTGATATATTACACCTATCTAGGATTCGCTGATTATAAGAAACCCAGGATATTATATTATATTTGTAAGATGATATGCCTCATTTTATGTTGCAATTAACAAGCGGATGAAACTCTAATTGCTCTGCTGGAGATGTAGTAAAGAGTTCCAGTTGTAAACTTTTCTTTTCAAACTGGCTTAACAGAAAATAACTTTAATGTTATGGAAGTTGTGGAGCTGATTAAGGAACTTAGGTACATCTTATGCAAGAATCGACATAAAAAGTTTCAACGGAGCGAGCACCTCTTCACAATAGGCTCGATATTTTCCATTTAATTTAGCTGATTTGATTTTTATCTCGGATATACATTTGCCATAAAATTTACGAGCATTATATTAATTGGTCGATAGAGAATTAGCGATGTAACCTAGTATGTAATAAAACACACGTTGCATAATCAGAGTCAAATTTAGAAATTGATCGGGCATTATGTCAATGTAAAATGACAACCCAATCACGAATGTCCAACATCGAACATACGAAACGCTAATCAATAATCAAGTGAAGCATAATAAATAATCATTAGTTCACCAATATAATCTCCCCATTCAGTCGGCAATGACCAACAATGTCAACACAGTTTCTAATTTCGTGTAGTTGCTTTTCCGGCCGCATAAACCTCTCATAGGGAAGGGCAATTACCACTCAATATATAACGGAATTGGTAAGACCGCATAAATTTATACAAATCGCTATTAACTCTTAATTCGAATTTGCTTTTGAGATTAGAAAAACCGACCGAACCGAACCGTAATGCAATCAATTGTACAGTTCCTAAATTACCTAAATAATACTAACCAGCAATCCAAACACGTTTCGTAATATTGAACTTATTGGTCAATGTATAAATTGATAAATAATTTGTTTGATTTTATTTTGTTTGTAATTGCTACTTGTAAATACCTACATAAATACAAAATAATACATCCTGCACTATTTTCGGTCAAAATAGTTACACTTTCTGCAGTTGCACAAACCTCTACAGTTTTGTTTCAAGTTTTAAAATATCTCACGAACTTAACTTAGAGCAACCAAGTTCAAAAATACCCCGAACGATTCAAAATTATATTGAACCGTTTTCAAAAATCTTGAACTGTTTGAGATGGTTCGAATCCATTCATCCTTGTTCGAAACGATCCGAAATTGTTTCAAAACTATTAAAAAAAGTACAGAATCATTCTAAATACTACTGGACCCTAAAGTATTTAAAACTGTTTTGAACCATTTTGAAACATTCCGGTTGATTTCAAACTTTTCTGAACTATATTTTGAATGCCCGGAGCGTTTGGAAATAGTACGGAATATGTTCAAAATAGTTCTGAACACACTGTTTGGTTTTGCTAGGAATATCAATTGATTGAGTTGTTTTTTACGATGATTTAAAGAAAAATTATCAATTATTATGAAAATTATGTCTATCTACTATACATATGCAAGTTAAAGCTGGATTTGACGTTAGATGAATAAAATGCGAAAACGGTGTTTAAACCAGCCGTAAATTCAGCAATATCTACTGGACTCGGGCTGGAACGACTTCATTCCCTTTTATTGTAGTGATAAAAGTCCGTCGACTACTTAACCTACTTAAATAGCAAAGAAATATAAGGTTGATTTTATTTAAACGGCCGAGGGAATACATGTGATATTATACAAACTCGCCATTCGACACTCTTGAAATGATTTTTAATTTCCTGTTTTGCAAAATTAAATAAAATATAGGGTAGGGCGGGGCTAGTTGAGCAACTTTTCACTTTAGCGGATATAGCTCATCAATGATATGTGTGAATGACTAGTTATGTGGCTTGATGGATTAGTAATTTATCCCTTAACAAAAGTGTCCAGCATAGTAACTTTTTTGTAACTAGTTGAATTTAAGAGCTACAGCTGTTTAAATGCAGAAAGTCAAGTATGCTCAATGTACCCCATAGGTGAGGTAAGTTGAGCAACGGTATGTTTACATATAGGATATGTTTATTTTTATAATCATCTCTTTATTTATTGTGATTTAGTGACAAAACAACAAAACTTAAAGTAATTTACGAGCTTTCTGTTTAAAATCAGAATTAAATAGCTTAAAAAAATATTAATAATATATTAGCAAGTTTTGGTCGTTGTTACTGTTGCAATTAATACAAATGAAAGTAAGACCATAGCACCTGGAAGACATTTTATTTGTGCCCATTCCCTGCAAGCTTGGCAGTGAATCCAACTTTCTCCTGGTAAATTTCGCAGTAGTTGCTCAACTAACCCCAACCCGCAATTTTAAAATAAAAGTGAGGTCATAAAGAAATCGTAAGAATTATAACCAGATCATCTCTACATATCAAAAGTACAATAATTTTCTGGAATATTAACCCTTACCCCATTGAAAACGGATAATATTTGACTAATACAGACGAAAACTTGCGATAGACGACGTTTTTACTTTTTGGTCACAAAAAAAAACAAAACGCACGGGGGCTTTACTCGCTTGTCGAGGCGCCACTTGCAATAGCTCTGTGATTAGGTCTCCCCCGACCCCTTCTTTCCGCCATAAGATGTTTATGCGTACGGTGAATAGTTTTCGAGATATTTCGATTGCACAACTTACCCGTATGCTCAACTAGCCCCGCCCTACCCTACATTCGGTTTTCATTCACCGATAATTTCGATACGAATTCCGCGCGACTATTTCCATTATCATCGTTCCCTTTGGTGCCTTCGCAATTCGTCTGCATTTGCGTTATGTATTCAAATCTTATACGCGCCTTTTGATTAGAAAAAAAGGACGATTTTTGACCTGTGAAGCTGAATTTGGTATGCAAATTCGCGCGAGACGGCAAAACAACAACGAACGGAAAATTTGTTTCGCCTTTAATGGAGCGTGAAGTTTGTGTATTTCGACGTTGCGCGAATGTAATTGAGTTAGGAGTTTCACCTCCGAGAACAATATCGAGTTAATCGCTGACGCTTCGAACTAATGCACTTTTCCGAATCGCTATATACGTTTCCTTAAGTTTCCATTATTCTTTGAGAGGTGGATGCATCTTCGATTTAACTTCTATGTAACTGTACAGGTGAATTATTTCCTCTCCTTCAACTGTACGGTTTTCTCCGAAGGTTTATTGCTTTCGTAAGTGGATTAAATTTAATTGTAGATACCTGACGGAAGGTATGTAATGATTTCATAGACTAATATACAAGGCGAAGCAGTTAACAAATGCAATTATGTAATAGGATGAATATTGAAGAGTTATAGCATACACAAAGGAAAAGCTATATAGACCTCAACTCAAAACGAAACGGACAACTACAGAGCATTAAAGTGCCGTAAAGTCCTAAAAGGGTTAACCCAAAAAGTCCAATTTAGTCTGATTTACCACGAAATCCCCTGTTCGTTTTATTGAACAGAATAGGAGGAAAATAGGGTTGGTTAGAGATATAAATCTCTCCGTTGCTAATTTCACAAAAGACTTACTCTTAGCCTCCCTATTAAATAAATTTCATCCGGACTTTCAAAATACCTTTTGACGGTAAAAAACTGCATGAAAACCCTTTTGAGGGATTAAACCACAATCATGAGTAATTATTGAAGTCGGAAAGATTTAATCCGATTGAGCTGGAGTTTTT